TGATTTCTCAAAATGTTCTTTGGTAATAGGATAAATGTGAATTTTTAAGTACGGAAGCAGGAGGCATACAAAAGAGGCTTTAATTTTTGAAAGTTAAATTACAGAGAAATGAAAGAAGCTTTTTCAAGCATAGGCACAGATTGGAATACTTTTGCATTAATTAATATTACAAGCTTATGTTTGTAGTGAAAAAGTTAATGTGAAGGAAAAATATTATTCCTCCTGATGCCATTAGCACTGTAAGCATTCTTCATTCTTTGTCATTCCTGGGGAAGGGAAGGAAGGCAGCAGTAGACAACTTCCACGTGTGGCAATATGGAAGCTTAATTTTAAAAAATTAATTTACCAAAGATATTGTATAAGTGTTTGGATACTATTATGGTGGTGATGTCCGAGAGAAGAGAGAGAAATCCCTAATGTGGTAGAAGTGCCTGCAGGGAGTATCCGAGGCACAAGGCTGGGTTCAGCCAGATGACTCACTAATAACCGAGGACTAGAAGCATTCCCCTTCACACTTCGCTCTGAAATACATTCTCAATTATTTGTGTGTACCTTTGACAAAATTCTCTCCGTACATAGGAGCTGTTGTGCTCAGGTTTTTGGAACCCGAAAACAAGCTCCTTATTGATGGTGAGGTCAGGTCGCTTCTGGGAACGGTGGCTTGTTGGTTACCAGCTGCTCTCCAGCCAGAAGGAAGTTGTCTCTGTTCTAATGAGTTGTGCTTTGTTTCTTTTTCTTATTAAAAAAAAAAAAAAAGGCAACAACTGTTATACTATGTGCTGTGATGTTTCTTTGTGATGGGATTGGTGAACTTAAGAAAAATGTTGACTCGTATCAGAATTACTGGCAGAAATGTTTCAAGATAGAAGTGTGTACGTGCTTGGGTGCCTTCTAAATGGCATCCTCGTGCCACTGCTTGAAGAGTCAGTAGCCCTGTGAGCGGTGCTCTCCCTTTCCCATTCAAGTGGGATAAGAAGTTGGATCTTAAGGTGTTTTGGGACTTAGAACAGTTTCTGTTGGCTTTAATTTTTTGTTTTGGCAGATTTTGTTTTAGATCAGGGAGACTAAGAAATTAGAAATAAAAACCTCACATATAAATAGCAGTGACACAAGCAACTGTGGTAACCTCTGCTTTCAGTTACCATAACATAAACTTGAGGAAGCTTTGCTGATAACTTTCTGCATACAAGTGAGAGTAGAATTTGGCTCAGCAGTCAACTCCTTAATCATTGGATTTTCTAGAGTCTGCAGCTGATTCTGCTCAGCGTATGCTACTGGGATTTTTATGCTATACATCGGTTTGGGAATAATACTGAGATACCAATGTTCCCGGTCTGAAATTTGAAGCCAGTGTTGGACAGTTTGTTTTTCATTCAGTTTGTGCTTGATACTAAAGAAATACCCAAATATTGGTAATGATCCCAAAAACTCAAATGCCATTGTTGAATAGTAGTTATGCATGTTTAAAGTCAGTTTGCACTATGACACGATGAAAAAATACTGAAGCTGTAGGGCAGGTGTCTTGTCATTGTAAATAAACTTCAAAAGCAGAGTCCGCTGATTTGGGGATGGGGTTGTTAACAGTTTCAGACCAAAAAAAGTCTTACTTCAGAAAATTTTTTTTGTGCTCTCGTGCATCTGGACCTACTGATAAAGTGTAATATCAAATGAACTTTCATATCGAATTTCCTAATCTTAAGGAGTCATAGTTGTTTCAGATGGGACTATAAGTTCATGGAAGAAAACATGGAAAGAAATTTGTATATGTGTGTATTTTCATTCTTATTTAAAAACTGCCTTGCTTAAAAGTCAGTAATTACTTTTATTGACCCACACTGATGTGCTTTTTGGTGAGTTAGTTGAAATGCATCTCCAAATAATACCAAGAGAAATATGGCTTGTATGCATATGTATATATATAAAAATGTATTATTTAAAAATAGATAATGAGGACATGTGAACCTCTGTAAATGTCTGGAGAGGTCCAATCTGGTTTTGGCTTTGCTAGCATTTCTCATCTAGGCATTTAAAGGCAGGTGGTGTAAAGTTGAAATATATCCAAAGGAAGAGATGGATTGAAAAAATGAATTAGTTAATAAGAGTCTTGTTAACCTTTGGAAGGTTTTAAAACTGGGTCGATAGGTGACATATCCTTTTTGTTCTATTTAAGAAAGATTGATAATCTTTCTTAGTAAGTAAGATAGTAAAATTGTCCTTGCTGGGAAATGACTGGCCATCATATGCAGTGTTTTACCCACTCATATTGTTTTGAGCTGCATGTTACTACTCCATTGAGATGTTCAGTCACCCTTATTAAGAAATATGTATTTATTCTTAAATTCATAAATGTTGCTCAACAACCTGACAATAGTAACTCACAGTGTAGAACTGACTTGGCTGTTGGAATGTTGACAACATTATTTTAAAATGTTTATAAGAAATAAAAATTGGTTCAAGATAAGCTAATCTAAGATTTGTTAAGAAACAACTTTGCTTAAAAAAAATTAAACATTCTTTCCCGTTGAAGGCCAGGTAAGTTCTCTGAGACTACCTGGTGGCTGCACATCTCCCCACTAAAGACAAAAAGCCCCCAGAGGGGATGGCCCATCAAGAAAGGAGAAAGCAACCATCCTCTTTCTCTGCATGTTTTTCTGCTGCTGATTGTCACAAAATGTTGTTATTTGGAGGTTTTCTAGTAGCTCTCCAGCCTGCATAATGCCACCATTCATAACCTTCTAACGGGAGAAGGAGCAAGCATGCCAGTGCAGCCAGAGCTGCTGAATAACCCATGTTGTGCAGGATGCCCTCGCCTTGAGCCAGGCCAGGAGTGGAGGAACAGCAAAATCCTGTTCCAGGGTAGAGGAGGGCCCTCATGATGGAGGCATGTTGTTAACACTTTGATTGTAAGAAGAACTAAAGCAGAGTGATTTGACTTAGGTGTTCCATAGCATTTGGCAAACAGCCAAATTCCATAGCATTTGGCAAACAGTGGAAACGATTGCTGTATATTTAGCGATGGGAAGGTTGTAAATGGCTGTACCCTAGTTGTGTGGTCAAAGAAAATGCAGCTGAGATCATAGCAAAAAGCCCAGCCTGTCAAAGCCTGAATTTTCTTAGTACGTGCTAGGCACTATCTTGAATTGATGCAAAACCCACCACATTTTTGCATTTTAAAAAGATAAGCCAATAAAATGTAAATTCCATTCACAAAAATATGAAAGTCAAAATTATGATTTCCCTGCCAGCAATTACTCAGCTTCTTACACTTTTGTAATAGTTCATATAGCTTTGTATGATGTAATCGTTTCCTTTATGATGTTGGGGTTTTTTAATATATATATGTATGTATATGTTTAGAATTCATAATTTAGATGAGAATTGTAACGTGTGTCTTCTAATCTCCTCGCAATAGAAGTCACAACTCATATTCCACCATATAGTGCTCTGTGGCAATAGCTTATTTTCTCAGTGAAACTTACTTTACCAAACCCAGTAGTAATGGTATTTCTTTTGACAGAACAAATTTAATTTGGATGGTGCTGAGATTATCACAAGCTCCCTCTTATTTAAAGGGTTTATCAGATGTGAGCTGCATCTTATTTTTGATGGGTGACTTTTCACATATTTCTGTCACAGCTGGAACTCTCTGGCATTTTGTTTTACCAGCTTTTTATTATTTCCTTTTACCATTATTGTTATGTAAAAATAGAAGCTGTTGTCTTTCAAGTTTGGTTTATCTTCTTATATGGTTCTCTTGTGTCTATCCACACAGGGAATTGGAATAAATGAATCATGTTTAATTTCTTTTAAATACAGTTCAAGCAAACTGAATTTGTCAGTTTATTCAGCTAGTGTAGACTGGGATAAATTGTATTTCAGTCTCACCTAAAAATTTACCCAATGTTTAAGCCTTGTGTGCATTTTATATTTTGTGGTTTTAGCATAGTTAGGTCTCATTACAGTCTTTTAAAGAGTACTTTTAGCAATATATAAGACAAGTTTAAACATAGTTCCCAAACTTGGTTTTGAAGCCAAAGTAAATGAGGTCTTGTAGTGCCACATTCCAGTGATTCTGACATCAGAGGAATATCTGCAGTAATAAATTTTTACATTAAAGTGGCTGAATTTTTATATGGCTGCAAGAAGCAAGACTGGGGTCTGACGTGGAGAAGCATTAAGCTAACCATTCAAGATACTAACAATTTTTTTCATTAAAACCTTTTCCCCCTCTAGGAAAAAAAAGAAAGAAAAAGCAAAATACTTATATTTTGGCAAAAATGAAATGTTATTTTTAAACAGGCTCAGTAAAGCTGGTTATTTAATTTTGTTTAGTGTTTTATTGTTTCAGTTTTCTTGATACTCTGCTGCAGTCTGTGGAGATGCCTCTCTCTTTTTGTGAACTAAAGAGTGAAAATTATGCTAAAAATTACCTGAGCACTTGACACAAAACAAATCAAAACCCTAAAGTATTTTGAAATATTTTCACAAATGGATTTGTATCTAATGTGTGTTGTAGATATTTGAATACAAAGCATTCAGTATTCATCACATTTGCAGCATTATTAGCAAACTTTTTTGAGATTTTCATTCTGGGAAAAATAATTTTTTAAAAACTCAACTTGTAAAGGTTACAAACCTGATTCATACCAGGAAACTGGGTTAAGGCACGGATAGCAGAGGAGGACTGCATCGACTTGGCCTTGTATGGCTGGGCTGAACTTTGGCAGCTAGAAAGAAGATTGACTTCCCGCCATTGGTGCTTCTCTCTATGGTGGCAAGGGAAGACTGGGAAGAGCTGCTGATGAACATATGCTCAGCTGTGTTTGAGCTGATGAGCTCTTTTGCCATCCCTAGATTTTAAGAGGAAGAAGAGTTTAGAGCAAAGTCTTACAACCCAGAGTACAATTTTTTTCCTCATTGTTGTGATAAAAATTACATGGTTTATAGTGCTGATTCTTTCAAATTTACAGTTAAAGAGTCTTCATCTTGTTTTCTTTCAGATTCTTCTCATTCTTTTCATCGAGATGAGACTATAGTTATTGCCCTTGCATCTGTGTCTGTACTGGCTGTTTTGATTGCTGCTCTGTTCTTTGGATACAGGATGCTTGCAGGTAGTGTGATCCTTTTTTTTTTTCTTATTGTTCTTTTGACTGTTTCTCAAAGTTATACTTATGTCTTTTGTTCTCCCCAGTCCCTATTGGTATGTTTGTACATAATGCTCCCCTTTCTCCTCTCTGACACTTTATGGTGGTATCCTTTTCATAACAGTCCAGAGAGATTTATGATTTCTCCAAGTTTGCATTTTGGGACCCATTTTTCTTCAGCAAATCCAGTGCTCAACACAGCTTCAGTGAGGTTGTGAACATGCTTTACAGTTATTGCCAGTGACATTCAATTATCAAAATAGTTGTGTAGCAGATAGCCTTAATTTTGTAGCTATTGGCACCTTCACTGCTGATGTTACTGACTCTGAGAAGATTTTACAGGATTCCTCTTTATTTGTTGTTCCCTACAATGTTTATTTCCACCAAGTCCCAGGTAAGCTGTATTGTTTTCACTTGTAGCATGGCAAAAAAACCTGTCTGATTCCCTCCTCACCCCCTTCCACAGGAGACCGTAAACAAGGTTTGCACAGTATGAACATGATGGAGGCAGCAGCATCAGAGCCCTCCTTGGATCTGGATAATCTGAAGTTGTTGGAGGTAAATGTTCAACTCTGTTTCTTAATCTTCATTTTTAGTCAATGTAACACTTGTGGTCATAATCACCTCCCAGGTATAATTACAGAAATAAATATATCGGTGCTCCTGTGATGTTTTCTTCTAAATCACAGTTTAAAGAAGAAATTAAAAGGAAAAAAAAAGTTACAGGAATTACATTTTGCCTGGTTTTGTTAGCAACATTGTGGGTATTAGCTAGAACGTGTTCTACCTTGAGGAGAAAATACTAAACACTGGGAGGTAATGGGGGAAATTGGAATGTGCTGTATTTTCAGCATTGCATCAAAAGATCCATCTTTTTGCTTGACGTTGGTCGCTTTAAGTACAGTATCCTACTGTAGTCATTTGAAATGCTTTAGTAACACTATTGGACTATAGAATTTACTGCAGATAGGGCAGTGTATTTCAGTAGTGGTGCATTTATGTAGAGTCATTCTTCACAGTGGGGTACTCTCTATCTCCATGGCAACTAGAGGCCAACCAGAACTTTCTACTCACTCTTGGTATTAGATGTATCATCAGAAAACTGCAAAACGTTGTGCTTTCAATTGGTATGCTTGATGGAACGTACAGAATTTTTAAAAGCTTTTAGCCAGAAATAAACCAGTAGAATGAACAAGAGAGATTCATAGTGGTATTTTTCTTCTTTTTGCCTGTTAGAAATCGCACCTAGAGATGCAGACCGCAGACGTGCATTGCGGTCTGGGCTAGTGGTGACAGCAGCCTAATCGGCATAGAAGCTTGGGTGCTTTTTGCCAACAAAAAAGTACTTGAGGCAGAGCTTACAAGAGTATAAGGATGTGTATTGCAGAAGTGTGCAAAGCCCTAGGTGAAATTTCTCATACTGATATGCAGTCTTGGAAAAAGCAGCGACTTTGTTGGTGGAGAGATTTGCTGTGGGGGTCTTCTGTCCTCTTTCTTAAATCCTAAGGAGTTGATGCCTCACCCCCAATCATACAGTGTTGCAAAACAAATTGTCTTAACCTGTGCTTGCCTTTTCACATCTCTATGGGTAGACTACATTGCGGGTTTATACCTCGAAGTGACTCACTGCCACTTTGCAATCCGCTGGCATGGAAGGGCTGAGAAATGGAAAGTCTGTCTGTTAAAGGATGCTTTATTGTTGAAAACTTTCCTGTTAGACAATTTTATCATCTTTAGAAGCATTAGTTCTGTAATCCCTTCTGCTTTCCATTCCTCCTCCATTTCTAAGTATTTAAAAAGTAAAAAGATACCAGTCTGTGAAATCCTTACGGTTTCATGTCTTGGTCTTCCTGAAAATTATTTTAATTAAACAGATGCTTAAATTCTTATGTAGTTAGAATTTTTTCAGCTTTAGAAACTAGAACTCTTGCTGAAGGTGGTCCTACGTTTTAGTTTAGAGCAGAGATCGCATCTTTCTTCAGTTGCCATGGCAATGGGAAAGGCCATTCTGTGAAGACTGTCTAACATAGTGGGGACTAGAATAAAGATTCACAGGTAGTAAGGAATTAATTATTCCTTTCTGTTAAAACTTGTTTACCTCTTTTGGTATCTATTTTGCACTGCAAATGCATATATTGTTGTTACCAATCTACAAGGTACAACTTAAAGCTATCCTAAACCTAAAATGTTTAGCTTAATGTCTGTGATCTCTCGAGTTAATTAAAATTGATCACATAAAAGCTATAAATGTTTAGTAGGCAAAAGTTTAATAAGAGAATTAGCAGCACAAAATGCATGGATTTTGTTGGTTTGGTATAGGAAACTGCTGAATAAATTATTTATGATTTATTTACTGGGTATTCAGACTATAGATCAATTTAATAAGATCTAAGTTGGCCTATGCTGAGGTTTCCAGCTGCAAAGTAGCTTTTTATGACAGCATTCTAATTCTAGTTTTCAATAAAAAGTATTCACTATATTCACTTTTTTTTTAGTGAAAATTGCGAAAAACCATGGATTTTGTTGGTTTGGTATAGGAAACTGCTGAATAAATTATTTATGATTTATTTACTGGGTATTCAGACTATAGATCAATTTAATAAGATCTAAGTTGGCCTATGCTGAGGTTTCCAGCTGCAAAGTAGCTTTTTATGACAGCATTCTAATTCTAGTTTTCAATAAAAAGTATTCACTATATTCACTTTTTTTTTTAGTGTAATCAGTATAAAAGTTGGCGTACAATCTTTGTAGAGTGAAAACTTAGGTTTTTGTCTTCGTTTATTAGTTAGAGAACTAATTACCTTTTTTTTTTGCAGTTGATTGGCCGGGGACGATATGGAGCAGTATATAAAGGCTCCCTAGATGAACGTCCAGTTGCAGTGAAAGTATTTTCTTTTGCTAATCGTCAGAACTTTGTCAATGAGAGGAACATTTACAGGATTCCACTGATGGAACACGAAAACATCGCCCGCTTCATTGTGGGGGATGAGAGATACACTGCAGACGGTCGTATGGAGTATTTATTGGTGATGGAATATTACCCCAACGTAAGTGCTTCAAAGAAATCAATTGGATTGGTTTAGATTCCTAAGAATAGCCACATAAAAAGGATGTACTTCAGTATTTGCCAGTGTTTTTCATTACTGCTTGCACAGTAATGTAAAAATAATCCATATAAATTACAATTTTAATGAACATTAGCATGGTTTACTGTAATACCCTTTAAGATTTCCCAGTTAGTGCTATCAAATGTAGTCTTACAAATTCTTAGCTCTAGTATTTGCTTGTGGTTATGGTGCAGGTTTTTTAGTCAACTGTGCAATATTGAAGGACAGAATTTGAAGAGTTGTTTTTACTTAAAAATAATCTCATAAATTTAAAACTTCTTAGTGTTGAGACATTATGTCTTTGCTATGGTAGTTATGACCTCACTCAGCTGGAAATAGTGGGGGTTTTTGCAATGAAACGTAACAGATCCAATGTTGTTCTCAAACTAGTTTGTGGTACTATAAATCATGTTGGCTTTTTATCCTGTTACCTTCTTTAGTTACTTTCTGTGGCATAACGTATTTATTTTGCTGTACCATATATTGATGATGTAGGACGAGACTTAGGAAGGCAGTCTTACTTTCCAGAAGCATATCTTCAAATCTCCTTAGCTAACTTCATGCTTACATCCCTCAAATTCATTGATTTGAGTTCGTAAAGCTCTGTGTGTGTGTACACATGCATAGGAACAAAAATATTTTAAAAATACAAAGCATAAATGTGAATTACTTCCATGAAAAATCATAAAATGTAATGTATATGGGGGTTATATGTATGAAAATGCAAAAAAAGGTTTCATAATTTATCTTGGGGCTTTTTTGCTTGTCTATGGGAAAGAACTTTAATTGTTCAGTTACCTAATTTTTTTAATGAGCTTTTTGGTCTCGGGTAAGCGAATTCATAGTGTATTTCCTCTGGTGTTGATGGTGGCTGAAGCCTCATTTCTTAGGACAGTAGGACAAAAGCTGCTTTATTCAAGTAGCAGTAAGAAACAGAACAGTAATAAATAGTAATTATGGCCTGTCTTAGGGCCTTTTAGGCTCTACGTACATGCTAGTATTGAAAGTTAAATGCATACATGTATATAAATATCTAAGTATGTACACAAATTTAAGGCAACATAGCGCTTCACAAATATATAAAGAACATCTTAACTGAAACTTTTAAGTGAGAACACACTTGATCATATCCACTTATAAGAGATGGGCATTTAAGGAGAGATTGCAGAAACTAGAAATGACCATAGAAAAAGCTCAGTATGCCTGTACCAGATGGACAGTGGCAAAGCACATCAGCTCTGGCCTGCTCTGGCAGAGTAGGCTTATTTTCAACTAATTGAGTTAAGTGAAATCAAGTGAGTATTCTGCTCCTGGGAGGGCATAGCATAACTGTCCTAACAGGTGATCTGGTTTTGCTGTTTCCTTGAATGAAAGGATTTTCAACTGAAACGTAATTTGATTGAAAATTGTGTCTTGTTGCTTATACAAACAGGATCTGTTAACGATCTGATTAAATGCACAGATGAGGCTTATGACATCATATTATCAGATTCTTTCTCAATATGGTATTAAGAACAGCAAGATTAGTCTAAAATCAATCCACTTGTGGTTTGGAAGTCATTTGAAAAAGTGCACAGCAGGTGTAATTAGTGCACAGTGTGATCCTTAATTCAGTGAGCAGATGTTCTGCTGTATGTGGAGCTAACAGCAGGGAAGGAACCTTGCTGTGGCAGCCCTACTAAAAGGGAGTTGCACCATTCAAACTGGAGCTGTAAATCTTATTTCAATAAGGAGTTACCCATACAAGATGTGCAGGCGAAATACTCCCCATCCAAAACAACATTCTCCCTCGAAATACTTTCCTTCTTGGAAATAGGAACACACAGACCAGAACACTTTCACACAGAAAATTGTTCTTGGTGTTGCCTCGGCAAACGGAAGACAGATAGGTTTGGCCCAAACTGTGTTGTTATCCAAAGATGCCTTCAGACCAAAGACAGGAGGTGAGCAAGTAGTAAAAGGAAAGATAGATGTATTTTATCAATCAACATGCTGTTCTGATGTTACTCTGAGATGTGGCAGGTGAATAAGCAGTAAGTTGCAAGGGATGGCATGGTAGGAAATACGTAATAGCCACAGAATTGTCCCCTCAGTATTCAGACTTCCATGTCTTTTTAGAACAACAGAAAAACTGTTGTAAAACATAGAGTAGAATCTTATGATTGTTAAAATAAAAACATCCATTTTATCAAAAGTGATAATCAGAACAAATGTCCCCAGTTTAACTCATTACTCTGACAAGAATAATCTTGCAAATATATATAGCTCTAAATCTTGACTAAAATTCTTCCTGGTTCTCATCTATATTGAACTTCACTAAAAGCATAAAATCACAGCCCTCAGCTAGTTTAAAAAATATCTGGTGGCTAGCAAGCTGTGCAGCAGGAAGATCCTGAACTTGGTTTGAGATTTTTACACAGTGAGTGTTTCCCACCCACATCGTGACTACAGTCCTGTGGCCTCCGCTAGAATGGGCTGGAACCTCAACCAAGCCAAGAAAATCCATACTGCACTCAAGTTGCTGGCAGTTGGAAGCTAAGAAGAGTGTTTGTATTTCTTAAAAAGCTTTAAACAATAAGAAAAAATTGTAAAATTCTTTAACTCATTTCTAGGTGGTTTCTGAGCTTTTTTTTCCCTACCCAAATCTGTTTGAAGTTTGTATAACAGCATTTTAAAAAGTGAAAAAAAAATGCTTGTGTAAATCTGTATGAGTGACATCTGGTCTGTGTTTTCACCAAAGAGGTTATCTATCTATGGGTTTCTTATTCTGCACAGGCTGAGTCTGAAAATCTGTAAGACTTTTGTAATTCTATTAAGGAGTGTCAAGAATTTGGTTTTAGTTTTAGCACTGGATTAAAAAAATGTCTAATGCTTTGGTCATTTTAAACTCTGGTATCTGTGTGCCTCCATACCTGAATGTTGACTCCAAATGGACTCAAATGACACGTATCAGATTTTTTTTGAACCAAATGTTATGTAACTAATTTTGCAAGAAAGTGGTTTTAGTTGCAGCTATGATAAGATGTTACACATTGGTGCATCTTTAAGATTACAGATTTAAATAGGCAAAAAACATGGTAGTTTGTAGTCCTAAATAAACGTTATATTGTAATATGTATGCAGAGACAGCTGGACAACTTGTTCTTCATGCATGGGGATTTAGTTTGTTTAAACTGAGTATATTGTCATTGGGGACTATGTGCGTAAAAACTGTTCAAAGGTGTCATAGTTTGCAGGGTCTGGCTCTTTTCAGATAGCAGTCTCGGTTTCTAGAATATCTCAGTATCATAATTGACACCCTTCTTTCTAGTTTTCTTGGAGATTCCACCACCAATTAGTAAAAAAAAATCCCCCATTTTTTCCATTTAACTTCTCTTCCAAGAAAAGAGGAACATGACATTCTTATTTCCTGTTTCTTCAGTGCATGTAGACTCACTCCTATTCTGAATTGTCTTTGGGTTTTTTTTTCGTCTTGATACGTAAATAGATTATAGCAGGGGAGATGCCAGTGAGAGATGTTGACTATTTTTCTGTAAGTGCTAATGCTTTGAAGACTGCTATTTAGTAACCCAGGCTTCTATGTCTGCATTTACCTGTCATCTTCTGTTGTTCAACAAGACTTTTTCAGAAGAATAAATCAAATGCATGCTTTGCTTTTGTATTATAATTAATATCATTATTCCTAAAGGCAATCTGTGTTATTTTGCGATAAATTTCCTGTTCCACTTCTTTAGATAAACCAAATGGCAGGACTAGAAATTAATGAAACTTTGGTCCAGTCTTGTGTTTTAGAACATATAGGTAAACACAGAAGCAGTTGCAGGATTACACCTTTTAGGGGCAATGGATAAACCTGACTTCCCTAAAGATTTTGAGTTATTCAACTGGACAATGGTTTTAATCCAGTATTTATCTTGTTTTGTTTTGGTTTGGTTTTTTTTAGGGTTCTTTGTGCAAATATTTGAGTCTTCACACAAGTGACTGGGTGAGCTCCTGTCGTTTGGCACACTCTATAACTAGGGGCTTGGCATACCTGCACACGGAGCTACCTCGAGGAGGTAAGGCCAGGAAGGGATTCCAAGATGTTCAAGATACTCTTATTTCTATCAGGTAGTAGATTCCTGCCTGCCTTTTTTTGCTGTGACAGTATGGTGAGTAGGAAATGATGAATGCAAATAGAGATTACTTAGAACTTCTGATATGCTCTTTCTGTCTGAACAGTCCCATGTTGTGGGCTGCATCTGTGACGCTTGTATGAAAACATGGAGTAAGAGCCAGCAGAGCCCCAGAGAAAGGCAAGAGGGAGGAGTCAGAGTTGTGCCATGCTGCTGAATCATGGCAACAAGTTACTGAAGACCTGAAGTACTGGATGTCTGTCTGGCAGAGAGGAAACAGATAGAATCATAGAATGGTTTGGATTGGAAGGGACCTTCAGAGGTCACCTAACCCAAGCCCCCTGCAATGAGCAGGGACATCTTCAACCAGATCAGGTTGCTCAGAGCCCCATCCATCTGATACTGAACATTTCCAGGAATGGGGCATCCACCACCTTTCTGGGCAACCTGTTCCAGTGTTTCACCACCCTCATTAGAAAAAAAATTATTTCTAATATCTAGTCTGGATCTACCTTCTTTTAGTTTAAAATCATTACCCCTTGTCTTATCACAACAGATCCTGCTAAAAAGTCTGTCCCCATCTTTCTTATAAACCCCCTTTATGTATTGAAAGACTGCAGTAAGGTCTCCCTGGAGCCTTCTCTTCTTCAGGCTGAGCAATCCCAACTCTCTCAGCTTGTCCTCGTAAGAGAGGTGTTCCATCCCTCTGATTGTTTCTGTGGCTTCCTCTGGACCCGCTCCAGCAGGTCCATGTCTGTCTTGTACTGAGGACTCCAGAGCTGGGGTGTTCTGTTTGGTTTTGCCGTTCAGACACAAATCACCAAGGCAATTTTTAGTTTGTGTGTGAACTGTATACACAAATAGAAATAATTAATTCTTCTAACTCCACTGTATTTTATTTATCATATCTCTTGGTTTTTGTCTAAGGGTGTGGGTGTAGTCTTTGCTATGTACAGATGATACTGCTGGACTCGTAGTGTTTTATTAGAGCACCGGATGTGACAGCATATTGATTTATATTTTTACATGTCTGCTTGCGTGCTTCAGCCAGCATTTCAGCAGCTGAAGTATGATTATAAAGCAGATATTCCGAGATCTGTGATGTGTCAGGCTGCAGATTATGGCCTAGCACTGAAGCATTAGCTTTTTGGCAGTAAATAAAAGGATGGTGTCATTAATTCTACATTAAGGTGCTAATGTTTGGATTAAAATTCTGAACGGTATATCTCAAATGTTAAGCATGAACTATAGCAAAGAATGACAAATGAAGGTGCTGTTAAAAGTGCAAGGCTGAAAATATCAGTATTTCTTTGTGCCACTGAAACTGCAGCTATCATCTTAACTTCATCATTTTGAAATGTGCAGACAGGTGTGTCCATTAACAGCCAGAAAATGTGTAAACCTTCCATTGTAAAGCTTAAGATACGGCCATAGGCTGGTCTATGAACACTAGGAAGGAACTCATGGAGTAGAATAAATTCCACGGTAAAACTGGTTCTATAGTGCTGGCTGCTTTACTAACAAAATAAATGGCATGTGAACTAGGAACAACTGAGATTATTCTTTGGAAAAGATCAGATCCTTGCGAGAGGAACATGGACTCTCCAGAATAATATTGTCTACAGATCTTCTGAATAGGTTCCAGTCCTAATCATAACAAATAGTTGGTGCCATATTTGACACAGGAGTGTGGATATCAGACTGCCATTTGGAATGGCTGTCAGGGCTGTGGCAGCAGGTCTGTGCTTAAGTACGCAGTGTCTCCCCTGCCAAAATCATGCTGAAACATCCTTTGGAAAGAAGCTTATTGGCAAACAGTAAAACTGTATATAGCTGTGGCCTAATATATGGTATAGATACAGTGGAACTCTGAATGCCAGTCAATTTTCCTAGATAGCATACTGTGGAGCTCGTTATAAAGAAGCAAAAATGTTAGCTTTCTAAAAGATAGGTTGATTTTATGCTTATATTAGCTGAGCAGACATAATGAGGTTCTCTCATTTTGTGAAACAGTAGAACTGCTCAAATAATAACAAGCACTTCCATATGTCCAAATAGACCATTACAAACCTGCAATATCCCATCGTGACTTGAACAGCCGCAATGTACTGGTAAAGAATGATGGAACATGTGTAATTAGTGATTTTGGACTCTCCATGAAGTTAACTGGAAACAGACTGGTACGCCCAGGTGAGGAAGATAATGCAGCCATTAGTGAGGTAAGTAGAAATGAAGATAAACTAGTGTATAAAGGAAGACGAATTAGTACGGAAGTTAACACTGAGGAATAATTATTTCTGTTGTTACAAGGTGAATGTTAAGGTGGTACGATACCTCCAAGGGGGAATTGCTGAAATATGGGTGAGAAGTGCAATATGGCTGAAACCTTGATAGGAAGAAACTGGTTTTATTCTCAAAACACTCGAAAAACAAACCTAGCATTTTGAAAGGTGATAGATTGGCAGCCCTGGAGACTGATGATTTCTGTGTGAGATATGAGAAGATGCAAGGCAGGTTTGGTTGCCGTGTTGTTTGCAGTGATTTCGTACAGGTCCCTTCAGTCTCGTACTGAAGTATTAACTGAAGAACACACATTCTTTGGTGGTTTTGGTGTTAATTTTTCCAAAATGGTGACATACTGCATTCTACATCCTACAACCATTTCTCTGTGTGTCATCTTCGATTTTCTGGGCTTTAACTGGATACATCTGCGAGAGTAAGTGCATGTAGAAAGACACAGACCAGCTGAGAAAGAAGAGGGACAAAATAGCAAGGGATGCTTGAAAGAGTACCTTATAGGAAAAGATGAAAGAATTAGGGTTGTTTAGGGAAGTAAAGGCAGAGACAGATCTTCAAATATGTAAATGGCTGCTACAAAGAGAAAGGAATAAACTGTTTGCATTCAGTGTGGATAGGACAAGGGGTAAATAGGATTACATTACAGGAGGGAAAATTTAGGTTGGTTATGAAGAAACCTTTCTAATCTGTAGAAGGCAGCCAAGGTCTGGAATGGACTGCTGAGGAAGGCTGTATAGAATTTGCATCATTTTATGAATTTAAGGAACAGATTGGGAAAACATCTGCTAGGAGTGGGTTAGAACAGATTCTGGGCAGAAAGAAGAAACGGATTTCTTAAGCTTTCTTTTTTATGATGCTGTGATTCAGAGAGTGGGTTTTTTTATTGCTCTTTCCTTTTGTATAAGCATAAATACACTGACACCTGAATATAGGCCACTGAAATACAGTGAGACTATTTTAAAGAAAGAGTGAAAGTCCCTAATGGTTCAGTATATTTGTCATCTTTGTGCTTTCACAGAAAACGTTTATATTTCATGCAAAGAATGTGTTTTGCAGTGCTAATCACTTTCCCTTAAAAAGCAAGTGCTACATTAATAATACTTAGTGCACAGGTCCTCTTTTTAGATCTCCCCTTACTGAACAAAGGCACAAGGAAACCACTGTTTAAAATGTAGGGATATGGAATAGTGCTGTGACAAAATACTCTCCCACATGTACTGATGAGTGATTGCTCTCATTGAACATATTTCCTAGTGGAAATGAATAGGTATCTCCCAAGGCTGTTAATAACCATTGATCATGGAAGATGTAGGGGAGAGCCTTGCCAACAGTCTTCCATTATGATACCTACCTTGGTGTTTAACAGAGTAATTTCAGGAAAAAGAAACATTTCTGCTCTATCATATGAGAACATTGATTAAGGGACAAAATTATTTTGTTTTGGTACATAAAAAATGGCAGAGTAGGGGAAGGGGTTTATTATGACTAGGCTCTTGATAAGAGTCTACAAGCTGAGGACACTGATTAGAAGAGAACTGCATTTTTCTTAAGTGTAGAAAACATCAAAGTATGGTATTACAAAAAATAAATCTCCATAATAAATTGAATTTGGAAATTGCTTCCTGATTTGAAGCTTTGATTTTCTGTTTTTCCAGGTTGGTACAATCCGCTATATGGCTCCAGAAGTGCTTGAAGGAGCAGTGAACTTGAGGGACTGTGAATCTGCTTTGAAACAAGTAGATATGTATGCGCTAGGCCTTATCTACTGGGAGATATTTATGAGATGTACAGACCTCTTCCCAGGTAACTAAAAGAACTAGGAAAAGATGTAAGTAGAAGAAAGTGGTACCAGCAACGAAAGCTACTCCCTAGCCATAGCTTTTTAAAGTGAAGAAGGGAAATAATTTTCTCAATTGTTTTTGCCATTAAGTCGGTGCCATCTAGCGTTCAAGATGATTGTTGTCAATACAGTGTATTTGTGTGTGAAACATGGCTCATGCTGAATGACTTTAAATTACCTGTTTAAGCAGTTTTCAGGCCTCATGGTAAGTGCCATTTGAGCAGTATTATTATTGTCCAGAGTTTACAAGCATTGAGAGTTGGGCTGATGGCAAAGGCAGTACTTTCAGTTCTTAGAACTGATAAAAAGTGCCTGAAGTGTCTTTCAGATTTTTCTCGTGAAAGAATGGATGGGAAAGTGCTGTGATTTAATGTAGTGTTTAGCCAATTGTGCTTTTATTTATGCTAGTGACATTGAAAATTCAGGGAAATCCTCCAAACCTATAACAAAACAAGAGGAAGTAGACTTTTTAATTTTAACATGTGAGATGGTGTCACAACCACCATCTTCTTCCCAAGATATAGCATATAGAGTTAATCTGACATGCAGCATTCTCTCTATAGTCAAACAGCTGCACTTTATGTGCAGAGACTTGTAATCTCGCTGGGCTTCCTCCCAAATGTAGTACATGAATATATTCAGTCAGCAACGTTTCACAGAAATTAGGTGTCATCCTCAGGCTCTAAGACATTCTGAATATGCCACAACCAGCAAAGTTTGAAGATGCTATCCTTTGAGAGGTTGCTGAACAACACTTTTGCAGTTAACATTTGCAGTTAATTCAGCTTTTTTTGTGAAGTTAGACTTTGGGGGAAAGTGGGGAACATATCGATAGACAGCGACTTTGATACTACCTTTCATCACCTGAAAGCCCTTGCTCTGCCTTTTAATCTGTGATTTTTTTTTTCTTTCTTTCTTTTGCTAACAGGGGAATCTGTGCCAGAGTACCAGATGGCTTTCCAGACAGAAGTCGGAAACCATCCCACTTTTGAAGATATGCAAGTCTTGGTGTCTAGAGAGAAGCAAAGACCAAAATTCCCAGAAGCGTGGAAGGAGAACAGCCTGGTGAGATAGAATATTTTCAAAGAAACAGTCATTTAACCAGCTATAGGGTATACTCAGTTCTTAAAAGCAATTTTTGAATACGTTCTTTTTTTTTAATTTTTTTTTTTTTTTTTAGTATTTAAGGACTGGGAGCTGCCTCTGTCCAAACTCCTTAAATATTGAATTAAGTTTTTAAAAAACCATTGTCATGAAAGCTAGATTTCTTTTAAGGAAAAATACTGTGATTATTATCCGATGCTGAAGTGTGATACACAGGCGGTAACTTGTTATATTAATTGTTAGACAGTATCTGTAGTATTATGCATGAAATGCCCATGTGTTCTCTGCATGCTAGATGAGAAACAAAGGCGTTTTGTACCTTTTGACATCTTATAAACTAATAACACCCTAAAATAGTTGGCAAAAATGTAAATATACTCTTCCGAAACTAAAATCTATAAACATTGTAATAAACTCTTTCTGAAGTTGTATAGTCCTTAGAATTTGCAGAGGCTACAGCTTCTAGATGTCATTTTGTTGCAACTACATTAGAAATTTTATATGGCTTCATTTGATCTGCAATTTTTATTTTCAAGACTATAAACATAGTAATGTTGTTTGTTGTTTTGAATTAGTATAGCTATGGCTTAGAGCCTTACTTGCTGCTGCAGGCCAACAAGTTACGGCAAGTCAGCTGAACTCTGGTAAGAGTCTGTGTGCTTGCTTTCATCTGCAGCAAGGATGAGGTAATTCGAATCCCTTTAGCTTAGGGGGGGTGGTTTGTCTTTTATTACAAGCAAAGTGAAATGCAGTTACTGGGTCCCACCTGATACATGATAACTTGTTTAAGCTAAAATAGCTTGAGTGCAAGTATGAAAATTACATATTTGACTCTTATTTTAAAAGATACTTCTAGTTATTCCCTTACTGAAATTATGCCCTTCAATTTTCAGAGACTTTGCTAGCTGATAAGTATGTAGCTACTGTGCAGATAATGGGGCGCCTAGGGCCTCATCTGTGCTGGTACTTGTAAATATGTATGAAACCGTTTTCAGAGAGGAGCATAGCCTCCAGTATTAACACTGTTGTAAAACATGTTGTAACTGAGTTGAGAGCTTCACAGAAAGTTCTTCTATTACACAGTTTTGGCCAACCGTTTGGGGGGGTGGCGGTCCACACCCAAACTATATAGGAAATCAAGCAGCAACTGTTCTAACTATAGCCATGTTGACAAATGCAGTGTTGGAAGAACCAAGCTTGACAGCTGGTTTTAAAGACAGTTATAACTAGAACAGTTCAAGAAGGTTTGGTTTGGTTTGCAGACTACCCTTTTAGGTGTTAATTATGTTCTAACAAGCTGATAGACTCCAGCATTGTTAGACACTGAGCTAGTAACGAACCCCATGTTTAAACTGCCTAACACATTCTTTGTGTTGTCACTAATTTTTTTGCAAAAATTCAAAATAATAATAATAATGAAGATGATAATAAGTCCATCTCTACACATGGATTTACACCACTGCTTAAGAGAAAAGAAGAATAAATAAACAATCTAGTTCTCTCATGGGTATCAAACAGCCTACTCCACCCTATGCCAGTCTAGGATAATGTCTGAATGAGGACTCTAGGGGAGATATTGTAGAAAACTAAGCTCCAGGTCCTAACCTCCTATACCTAATGCATGGGATAGAAGACTTTTGTCCATTATTTAAAGCTATGCAGACATGCTGGGTTATAACACTTCCATGCAAATTCATCTATTAGAGAAATGTATTTGCCCTTTTCATTTGAGAAATACAAATAAAAAGCAATGTTTTACTTTTTAGGTCATATAATTAAGGCACTCAAAAGATGTGGAATCCTAAATTTATGATTACCTGTGCAGTCTCACTCTGCTTCTTGAACATACATGTTATGATACAGACCTTGATTAGTAGCATTTTTTTTCACAGTATAAATGAACAATCCGAGCAGATGATGTGCATAAAATAATTCAAGGGCTATAAACTGAGTTGAGATGTTAGCAGGATTCTTGTCTCATTTGCCAAAGCCAAAGCAGGGCCTAAGCTTGACTTCAAAGGTCAGGACTGAAGGATATGAATAGGATAATAGAATAATGCAGATTTCCTGTCTCTTATATTTTTTTTTTTTGAGTGCTAGAAATAGTGCATTTTAGTATAGGTGTCTCTGAACCTGAAATTAATAGAAAACACATTACTGTGGTAAGTGTGAAACTCTGTAACTTCAGTTTTGTTAACTATCTATACAGTCATGACTGTGCTCCTTTCATGATCCTTAAAACATTAAAAGGAAGGGATCTGCTGCAAGAGAGACAATATTAAATACTGGTTAAATTTACTGCTGGTGAAACCTGTAGGGGAGAGTCTTACCAAAGGGCAAGGCAGGAGACTGGGGTGTCTACTGACTTATATACATTTAAATTGTGACTAAATCAAGTCCTAGAAGCCAAATGAACAAGTTTTATTCTGGGAGAGAAAACTGATCCAGTACACTATCTTGTCATTTTCCCTTGAGGGTGCTTTTAGACTCATGTCCCTCACCTAAGAGAGGTGTAGTTCCTTCCGGCCTCTTCAATCTACTGTGGGAAGGGAGATAAAAGGTTTGCTTGTGTGGGAGCTCATCCCCACCTGTGCAGCCGTAGCTGCATCACTAAGTAGCAGTGACTTGCCAGATGCAAGTGATGCCAGGAGCCCGCTCTGTGGGCGAGGAGCTCTTGGCTAGCATGCAGAGCTAGTCCTGGCTTTCGCTGCCAGAAGCAAACAAGGCAGTTCTGGCACACAGGCAGTCAGCAGGACCCACTGAATGCCTTAGTGCCCCGCTGGGACTATGCACAGTCATTGGTGCTGGAGAGGTTAAAGCTGGGCTGTAGATGCGAGATGCTCTGGCAAACCATGTCCTATCCATGGGCCCTACATTGGCAGCAGGGGCCAGTAGATGTCTGCCTGGTTTTTGTACTCCGGATGCAGTAGAAGCAGAAGTGTTCAGTGCTTGTAATTTAAGTTGTCTCCTCTCCAGGTCTCTGACCATATGGCAGCATATTTTGGTGGTCTTGAGCTCTAATCCTGACTGTACCATTCACCCCACAGTGTGATCCCAGGAAAGTGTGTCTGTTTCTGTTTCTTCATCTGTAAAACAAGGGCAGCAATAATTTCCTGCCACAGCACAAATTCACTGATATTTATGAGGCATTTGGATGCTACAGTCGTGAACAGAGGAGGAAAAGTATGATGAAATGAGCAAGGCTGTGTTATTTGCAAGGAAGCAAAGCAGGGACCATTAGGTGAATTGTGAGGATAACCATGACAGCATTTCTGGAATATCATCAGTCCTTCGTACGCAGGTTTTCTAAGGTGGGGAGAGTGAGCTGAGCATGCATACACCAGAGGGGGCTGGCTGAAGGTTGTATGAACAACAGTGAATGTAGCTTTTCCTAAATAATTGTCTCCCTAGTTGGTGTGTGAGGTACGATTAATATTAGTCCTGCATATTGCTGTTAATTAGGGTAAACTGGCTTTGAATGAAATTGTTTATCTTCTGTTTCTTACCAGCTTGTGACTATTTTCATGCATACAAAATACTGTCATAAAACAGTAAATTAGAAGCACAGTATAAAGGGAAAATAATTTAAGATAAAGGGGGTTTGTTCGTTTGTCTCCTGGCAGGCTGTGAGGTCACTTAAAGAAACAATTGAAGACTGTTGGGATCAAGATGCTGAAGCTCGACTAACAGCGCAGTGTGCTGAGGAGAGGATGGCAGAACTCATGATGATTTGGGAGAGAAATAAATCAGTTAGTCCAACAGTCAACCCTATGTCAACTGCCATGCAAAATGAGCGGTAAGAAGAGAAAACATTTGGTTTTAGTCAGCAGTGAATGCCCAATGCAATGCACAGCTCACTTCAGGAAGGAAGCTAGAGCACAGCTGCTAGCTTAATGTTTCTGCACCCATGAAGTGGGTGTGTGTTACATGAGCTAGTCTGCATATGGGTATTGTATGACATGATCCTGATTGCTTGTGTTCTTAAGATCTGCTATGTGTCCCCAGAACTCAGGCACCTTTTATGTAAATAAGCGTAGTTCTCGCAGGGGAGCCTTTTAAACTGAACTTAGGCAAACTGTCCAAAAAGACTTGCAAAGATATGAAGTGACTATGAATTGTCTTTAAGGACTCTTGCTAAATGATGTGTCCAACTTCTGTTTAAAATGTTCTTCTAAAAACTGTGAATTTGCAGGCAATATGATTTCAGGAAATCACCAAGTCTCAAACCTGTAGCTTTTCAGTTAAAGAAACACTGGGCTGTCATTTAAGTCACTGTTATTCTGACCCCAGTGAGAGAGGTGCTGTGCATTCTCTGCTTATATATGATCCAGAGGGAGCGAGAATTTGCCGAACTGACATTAGTGCTTAATAGTATACACTAGAGATGTGGATTTGAGAGAAGACTAATGTTGCTGTATGTGGCAGTGTTTATTGTAATGAAAAAAAATTATGATCAAATTGTAGAATACCTAAATTGTTAAAATAATAGATTTTTCATGGTTTATGACCTTGTGACTTTTTCCCATCACCGCTTTCTCCATCTTGTGTGTTGAGTTCTTGTTTCCCCTTTCTGCATCACTTCTCTGCAACTAGAGCAGTACCTTAGCAGTGAACCGGACAAACAGCATATTGGACAAATAAAAGAAAATCTGACTTAGTTGTATAAATAACATCCATGACAAAATTGAAGTCCTAGTAAAACCAATTTCTGCTACCCAGGATTTTTCAAGGAAGTTACTAAAAGATCTCCATTTGTACTGTATCTGTCCTTAGTTTATGCATGGAAAGAAACAGAAGGACATTCAGCTCTCTTAAATGACAGGGTTTATAATATGAGGTGATTTTTACATATATGATCTTAATATCACTTTATTTTTTCTTAAAGGAATCTGTCGCATCATAGGCGTGTATCAAAGATAAGGCCATATCCAGATTACTCTTCCTCTTCCTACATCGAAGACTCAATTCACCACACTGACAGCATAGTGAAGAACATTTCTTCTGAACATTCAATGTCTACTACACCATTGACTTCAGGGGAAAAGAATCGAAACTCCATTAACTATGAGCGGCAACAAGCGCAAGCTCGCATCCCTAGTCCTGAGACAAGTGTCACCAGTTTGTCCACCAATACTACCACCACAAATACAACTGGCCTCACTCCTAGCACTGGCATGACCACCATATCCGAAATGCCTTATTCGGATGAAACAAACTTACATACTACAAATGTCATGCAGCCAGGTGGGCCCACCCCTGTTTGTCTGCAGCTAACAGAGGAGGACTTAGAGACAAATAAATTGGATCCAAAAGAAGTGGATAAGAACCTGAAAGAAAGCTCTGATGAGAATCTGATGGAACATTCACTTAAGCAGTTTAGCGGGCCAGATCCACTCAGCAGCACTAGTTCCAGCTTGCTTTATCCACTGATAAAACTTGCAGTAGAGGTGACAGGACAACAGGACTTCACACAAGCTGGCAATGGTCAAGCATGTTTGATTCCAGATGTCCCATCTGCTCAGGTCTATCCTCTACCCAAGCAACAGAACCTTCCGAAGAGGCCTACTAGCCTCCCCCTAAACACCAAAAATTCAACAAAGGAGCCACGGTTAAAATTTGGTGGCAAGCACAAATCAAACTTGAAGCAAGTGGAAACAGGCGTTGCCAAGATGAACACTATCAATGCTGCGGAACCTCATGTCGTGACAGTTACCGTGAACGGAGTGGCTGGGAGAAGCCACAGCATAAACTCTCATGCTGGCACAACCCAATATGCCAATGGGACAGTGCCGTCTGGCCAGACAACCAGTTCGGTAGCACAGAGGGCCCAGGAAATGCTTCAGAACCAGTTCAGTGGAGAGGATAGTCGGCTGAATATTAATTCAAGCCCTGATGAGCATGAGCCCTTGTTGAGGCGGGAGCAGCAGGTTGGCCATGATGAAGGTGTTCTGGACCGCCTAGTAGACAGGAGAGAGCGACCACTGGATAATGGCCGAACAAATGCCAATAACAACAACAGTAATCCATGTCCAGTGCCAGACACAGCTACAGTCAGTATCCAGAATGTAGCAAGGAATCCTGGGCAGACCCAGACTAGAAGAGCACAGAGGCCTAATTCGCTGGATCTATCGGCCACAAATAGTTTGGATAGCAGTAGTATGCAGTGTAAGTGCCTGCAGAACTTGAACAGTTTCCCTGATGCTTTGTTATTTAATAACTATATATATCTGCTTGTATAGAAAATAATTCTGTCTCCTGTCCCTCCTCAAAGCACTCTTACTAAATCCCATATAAATTTAATTTCTATTGGCACAATTTCAGTCTTCTCAATAAAGTCCTGTCAGTCCTGTTTCCATCAGCTCCAGCACATATTAGGTCACTATCTTCCCTCCACATACATGGACTAAATCTGTCCCTTTATAACTATTCTACTTTGACTCTAGGAAGGGAGTAATTTCTAATTTTCATTATTCCTTGCAAGGCACCTACCTTGGCAGCTGCAAAGCATATTGAAAAAGATTCCTGTTTCTTCCTTCAGGGGCACATTATACCTTCTTTTCCTTACTTTTTCTCATTCTCCTAAGAGTAGCTGGCTCTAAAATGCATTTAATCAATAATCTTATTGTAATAACTAATTCTACACTTCATTACTTTTAAAGCAACTGATTTTACTGTATTAGCCCAGCCTAGATGGACAGTCAGGCGTTCTCCACTTTGCTATCTGAGCTCCAACAATTATAGCAATCCTTCGTCAGTTTACCAGGTACATATTAAAAATTAATCAAAGTAGTTAGCGAAGGAGTTGATTTTAATAGACTCCTTCAGAATAACTGCCTTAAGAGTTTTATGGCCAAAGATTTAAGAGGTTACAATGGGGCTCTCCTTTTTACCGTAAAAATGTAATCATGTTGTTAAATTAGGTACATCCTCGTGAGTTTGTCTTTGGGCCTGTTGGAGCTGCTGGAAAGGCTTCCTGGTGTGCATTTTAAGAGAATATATTTCCAGAATGCACTGTAGTCTTTGAAAGGTGCTTGCAAACCTCTGACTATGTTTAGACAGACGCTGTGATACTAGCGAAATAATCTGGGGTGCCAGGCATGTTTGGAAAGAAAAGATTTAGAAACAAACCAGAACAGATCTTTCAAGAAATGTAGTTGAATATTCAGCAGTGGAATGTTTAAGCCTTCCTTTTAAGTAGGAAACATTAATTTTTGTCTTAACATGTTGACTTGAGTTGAAATCTTACTGAGGTAAAGAAAAAACATTATTGCAGTAACTTTCATTAATTGAAGGTTAAGTTAAAAGAAAGGTTTTAAGGTTATGTAAAGTGAAAGGTTTTTTAACAGTCAAATTTCTACTGCTGAAATGTTACCATGTATTAAAGTTGGTTTTGCCAGTTTTGCAACCCAACATCCCAAATCCTGACTGAGGATCTTAACAGAGAATGGACCGTTTTGTCTCCAGGTGAAATGCTTTGCCAGCTGAAGTAAGATTAAGGGACCTATGATTTAATTATGCTATTAAAAGTTTAGCCTTTGCCGTCCTGTAGTAGCAACATTTCTTTTGTACTTCCCATTACAGGTAATATAAGATTGCAAAATGATTGCAAAAGCCCCTCAAATGTCAAATGCTGATTCTGCTGTTTGATGCCAATGTGCATTCAAGGTAACGCAAATTACTTCACTGAAGTAATTTCTGACAGACAACAGAATCTGATCCCTTGTTTTAGTGGCAGCTACTGTAGCTGATACACATGCCTCTGCCTCACAGTTGCTTTTGTGTGATAAGATTTTGTTCTTTTATTCTGTTTTGCATGAGTAACAACCCTGGACTCTCCAATCTAATCTTATCTTCCTTGTAATGCTATTTTCTATCTGTTTTTGTTTTTTTGTTTGGTTTTGGTTTGTTTTTTTTCTTCAGTAGGTGACTCCTCACAGGATGGCAAATCGGGCTCAGGAGAAAAGATCAAGAAACGTGTGAAAACTCCGTACTCACTTAAGCGGTGGCGTCCTTCAACATGGGTCATCTCCACCGAGCCGCTGCACTGCGAGGTCAACAATAACGGCAGCGACCAGGCAGTCCACTCCAAATCTAGCACTGCTGTTTACCTTGCGGAAGGAGGCACTGCCACCACAATGGTATCTAAGGACGCAGGAGTGAACTGCCTGTGAAATACTTTAAAAGCCGACAAATGACCTTTTTTTTGCATTATTTGAAACAAACACGCAGAAGACATTTTAAAAAACTGCTTTCTCCTCCTGTCAGCAACCCCTACCAAGGACTCGCTTTAAATAGATTTCAGCTATGCAGAAAATTTTTAGCTTATGCTTCCATATTTTTTTATGTTGTTTTATTTTTTGAACGTTTTTGCACTTTTATTTAGTATCGCTAAAGTTAAGTCTGTCTGTTTTGACCACGGAATATATATATGTGTATCAAAAATGTGGTCTCAAAATATTTTTTTAAGAAAAAGTAACAAAAAAATAGTATTGCTGATAATCAGTTTGGACCAGTTTCTTAAGGTCACTAAGATCATAAGCAGACTATAAGACAGGTTTGACTGCAGTGGTGTCTTGTAACCATGTTTTGATTTCTGTGCACAAGCTAGTCTGTATATTTCTATGTTACAAAGTGTATTCTCTTTTGAACCCCTTATTTTTCTTGTGTCATGTTGAAATGTGCAATAGTCTATAGTTCACAGTATGCTTTATTGAAAAGTGTGTTTCTAAAACTGCCACATGTTCCCCTTTTTGTATTTGTTAATTTTTCCCTGACAGTTGAGCAGTCAGCCGGTCATGACAGTGAACTTTGCACACCGTAGCCAGCTTGAAGCAGCTGCCTATATCACATTGTGGTCTGAGGTGACAATGCATGAATTTTCCCCAACTTGAAAGGGCTTTTAAAAAGGAGCAAAAAAAAAAAAAAAATCTGAGCTCACTACCTTTCCTTTGATCCTTCCAAATCAAAATGTGTTTCCTTTATAGCAGTAGATGCCAGCCTGTGAAGTTCTGAATAACAAAACGTTGAACAAATGTAAGGAAACAATGTCAGCCATTTTTTCCATTTCATTTTGTGTGCAGTTTCACTCCCTTGTATTTATGTAAAACCTTATTTAGATCAGTAATGATGTACCTTGAAAAATACATTTTATTCAGAAACCTGAATAACTGTCATACTTAAAAGTGCTAGTGAAGATAGATTGCAAACGTATTTTGTTTACACAGAGGAAAAATCAGAATCTTATTTGACACAAAACAGTTTCGTGATGAGTCACAAATCTTTCCTGATTTACCTCTTTACAGACAGTCTGGGGTAAAATCAGCCTGACTATTTATGCAGATAGGCGCATCCTAATTGACTGTTGCTGCTGAGTTGAGTTGAAACTCTTCCTCCCTTCAGAGTTTCTAGAGCCCCTCATTCATCTTAAAATTTATTGCATGGTTTTAAAATTCATGGTTATGAGTGTTTGGGGGAGAAGGTTGGGGTTTTTTCCCTCTGCTTAGACCCTTCTTTCAGTTTGTATGCATATTGATTTTAGGTGCCAGTGAACATGAATGTAATATCTATTGAGATAAATTGGTTTTTCACCATCTCAACCTTACCTTTTTTCAGAATGATTGTTTTTACTGTCTGCTGAGAGAAAATTAATTTCCTTATTGGTCAGGACCTCCTTCCACCTGAGAAATATTCTTTCTGAATGCAAACACTTGAGTAAAAACTATTTAGATAAAAAAGCTATAACACACGTCAGTCTCTGGTACTGAGCAAAATTTTATCTCGCTGTATCTGAAAACTGGTGATGTTCAAAGAAAGAAAATCTATTCAGTCAGCCTGCCAAACTCCTGTGGCAGGGTACTGGCAGAAAATTTCCTTTGATCCTTCCAAATCAAAATGTGTTTCCTTTATAGCAGTAGATGCCAGCCTGTGAAGTTCTGAATAACAAAACGTTGAACAAATGTAAGGAAACAATGTCAGCCATTTTTTCCATTTCATTTTGTGTGCAGTTTCACTCCCTTGTATTTATGTAAAACCTTATTTAGATCAGTAATGATGTACCTTGAAAAATACATTTTATTCAGAAACCTGAATAACTGTCATACTTAAAAGTGCTAGTGAAGATAGATTGCAAACGTATTTTGTTTACACAGAGGAAAAATCAGAATCTTATTTGACACAAAACAGTTTCGTGATGAGTCACAAATCTTTCCTGATTTACCTCTTTACAGACAGTCTGGGGTAAAATCAGCCTGACTGTTTATGCAGATAGGCGCATCCTAATTGACTGTTGCTGCTGAGTTGAGTTGAAACTCTTCCTCCCTTCAGAGTTTCTAGAGCCCCTCATTCATCTTAAAATTTATTGCATGGTTTTAAAATTCATGGTTATGAGTGTTTGGGGGAGAAGGTTGGGGTTTTTTCCCTCTGCTTAGACCCTTCTTTCAGTTTGTATGCATATTGATTTTAGGTGCCAGTGAACATGAATGTAATATCTATTGAGATAAATTGGTTTTTCACCATCTCAACCTTACCTTTTTTCAGAATGATTGTTTTTACTGTCTGCTGAGAGAAAATTAATTTCCTTATTGGTCAGGACCTCCTTCCACCTGAGAAATATTCTTTCTGAATGCAAACACTTGAGTAAAAACTATTTAGATAAAAAAAGCTATAACACACGTCAGTCTCTGGTACTGAGCAAAATTTTATCTCGCTGTATCTGAAAACTGGTGATGTTCAAAGAAAGAAAATCTATTCAGTCAGCCTGCCAAACTCCTGTGGCAGGGTACTGGCAGCAAACAATTGCCTCCCCCAGCCTGTCTCCCTTCAGCTGACTGAAACAGATGCTCTGTGCTTTCAAGCTCATTTGTTTCCTTGCTGTTACATTATTTTTTCCCCCTGAGGTAAACTTTGCCAACCCTCTTCTTCTGTATCTGATGATGCAACTAGCATAATATATGCCTTCCTACATCTGATCCTTGCTGTCTCCCAAACTTCCTTGTTTATGCTTGATTGCGATGATTTTCTCTTGTGATGCTTCTTAATGTTTCTTAGATTCTCCTAGATATCTCCAAGAGATAACTCTATAAATCCAGACTTTAAGTGTAGTTGTAGAAATACAAGCCTTGAGACACATTTTGGGCTCCCTGTGTTCTTTAAGCACCAGTTCAAGTAGTACCTTTCGTCTCTGAGGCATAATTGTATTATCTGCCTGTATAAATACAGTTATATCTCCCCTCTTGAAAAATGCACCCTTTCTCTGGTTTTACTTTTAATTCGCTCTCTGGCGTTCCCATCTGCTGCAATCTCGCATCCCAGATGTTGAAAACCTGCCAGTTGCTCAGCTGGGTTTCAGGACCTGAATCAGAATTTTTGGCGTTCTGTTCATAATGCTGGCTGCGGGTTTCTTCTCTTTTGGCCTTCTTTGAGTCTCCATTTGAAGTACAGTATGTTGTTTTGAGATGATGGCTGCATCATGCGTATTGAAGATTCCTCACTCCTTTCCCAATGACTTTTTGCTTTGCCTTGCATGTATCATCCATCAGCATTTCAGAATGTGGGCTGAAAAGCATATTTAGGACGTTCTTATCTAACTCAAAACACTCTGGGGAGAGGAAAGTTATTTGCTCTGACTACTGCTTCTTTCTGCTAAGACAGATTAAGCCTTTCTTTTCAGGCCAATCCTTTGTAAGAAATCCAAGTTTTTTATGCTCAATGCAATCAAAATCATTTTAATTCCAGATGAAAATGTTGTTCTACAGTTTTCCTTAAACATTCTGAAAGCAAACATAATAGTTTCTTTTCCTTTATCTATTTCTATCGGTTGCTGGAAGGTCTTTGGGGTGAACTATAGTAGAAAGTATTGGCTTTGTAATCTACCATGGATAAATATAATTTGTAACATGATAGAAATACGTATTTTATCGTAAAATACCCTATAGATTAAACAGAGAAGAACTATTTGTTTTTAAAGGTCAGTCAAAACAAACTCCTAAGTAGGTACCAAAATATTGTAATTCTGCACAGCTAGATGAGATCAGATTAGCAGTTTGGTTTTAATGCTTAATTTAGTAATGCCCTTTTTTTGCTCACAGCACATAATCCAATCTCCACAGAAGACTTTCTCTGTAAATTAAATTATATTGAATTGTGTCTCGTAGGATGGGGAATCATCCTTAACCAAACGAAATACGTGTAAGAGAGAATTCTACAGATCAGACACATGGATGGTTGATAAATGTACTATAATCAGGGGAGACAAATGTGGTTTATTTCTTTGTGTTTGTTTTTGGGTTTGGGTGTTTTGGGGTTTTTTTTTAAGAAAAAAGGATAATGATGAAAGTTGATAATTTTCTATCAATTTCTCATGTATATTGCAGACAAGATAAATATAGCAAAATGAAAACAGAATGATAGTGTAAATACCTATGAATTGTGCCACTGTCAAATAGACAACAGTAGAATATTTGTTATGGTAATTTATAATGTATAATTCAAGTAAAATGTTAGAGCAAACATTTTGATGTTTGTATATATAAGCCAAAATCCAAAATCTTACTGATTTTAGAAAATGATGTGTTAGCAGAAGCCAGAAGAGTTGCTTAGGTTAATGCATTGTCTCTTTTTCTGTTCCCTGTAATAGAGCTACTCGCTAACATAACATGATTTTTAGAACGTGAATTCTAACTGTTCGAACAGACATGCCTCATAGATTTATTTTCTTCTAAAATTGGTGTTTACAAGTCAGGTTATCTGCAACACTTCCCCTGAATTTGATTATAATGTTCTTTAGCTTCATGCGCTAAATAATTAGTATTAAAATTGCCTTTCTTGAAACTCCAAGATGCACTTAAATTGCACAGCTAGAGGTAAAGGAATTCCTACTTTAAAGAAAACCAATTGATATTGTCATCATTAGAATATTCTCAGAAGCAAAGAACATTTGTGTTTTGGTTTCTTACTGCCATTCATTTGTGTCTTGTTTCCATGTCGAAAATGACCTAATTTTCAAAGGCAACACAGATACTTTTTTTTTTTTTTTTTTTTTTAGTGCACTGGGGACAAAAACCAAGGCAAGATGGATGCTGGCAGGTTTCAGAAAATAAACAAACAAACAAACCCCACCTTATAAAAATCTTTAGAAAGTACGTATCTTCCCACCCATCAGCTTTCTCTAAAAGAAATCTTTAACCCTGCCTGCCTCAGAACGGACAATAAGGAGGTTCTGTATTTGTATGGAATAGATTATTGGGCCAAATTTAATAATAATGAATTGTTACTTTAAAAATATATATGTCTACGTTGTATATGCCATAGTTGCAGTGTTCAGTGCATTTTGCTCTAATGATCTTCCTTTTTTAAATGTTAAAAAAAGTAGTCCACTAATATAACGTTACTAAGCCTATGTTCAGATTATAATTTTCTGTCATAAAAAATATTCAAAAGATCATAGCCATTCTGCCATTGAAACATTATTATGGAAAGTTCCAGCCTAATTAGGGAGAATTTAAAATTCACATGTTTAGTCAATACAGGAGAAATTAATTATGATGTAATTTTTGCTTGTATGAAAATGATGGCAGTTCCCATTGCTGAAACAGGCAGGTTTTAAGTCATAAAAATAATAATTGCAGAGCACAGTAGCATATGCATGACCTGATGTCTAATTGGAAAATTCGGAGCAGCTTATCAAAGAGAATTGAAATATAATTGATTAGTGTATGAAAGTTGGATTATAGACTGGACAACTTAGTACTTTGCATAAATTTGGATTATTTTAATTTTTCTGTCTGGTTTCCCACTATCCATTTTAACAGGTAAATATATTAACCTCCTTTTTTAATGTGCTTATCATTTTTTGTTCAACTTTAAGCCTTTCTTCGGTGAAAAAGCTATACATACTGCAGTAAAGCCAAA